GCCACGGCAGCGCCGCCCTGCTGTCGCCCCATCCCCGCTACTGCTTGTTGTATCGTTATGGAAGAAGGTGAAAAACACATGTTTTAAGTAATATGTTTCAAGTGTTTGAGATGTTTCAGAGATATGTTACAAGTATTTTCATAGCATATGTTTCAAGTAGATCGGATGTTGCAATAGTTGTACATGTATGTTTGCAAGATTACATTCCCCAATATTTCATCATTTTTTTTTTTTAGGACATATGTTGCAAGTGTGTTTATTTAGATGTTGCATATGCTTTCACACATATATGTTGTAAGTGTTTTATCCTGAATGTTGTGATATTTTTACAATGGTTTTTTAGTGTTTTTAGGTGTTTTTCGTGTTTAGGATACATGTTTCAAGTGTTTCATCTCGCCTTCGGACATATCTTGCCAAGTGTTGTATATGGATGTTTTAAAGTAGATGTCAGATGTTGCATCTTCATCGTTTCTTTTTGCTACTGCGCTCGATGTCTCTTCCTTCTCCGGGTCTTGAGGCTGGCCAGGGCATCCGTCCCTCCCCTCTTCTCGATGCAGGTGATGTTCTATGCAACGCACAGGCCTCGTGGTGGCCAATGCGGCGTGGAAAACTGATCTATAGACGTGAGTGTCCCGGACGTCAGAAAGGCTTGAGCATGCCTTTAGGATAAAATATCCCTTGTATAGTAGTACTACCTCTGTCCAAATCTGTTATAATTTTAGATGGTCAGGGTCATTATTTAAATAAAATTTAACTAAATCCATAGAAAATGTCATTAACATTTACTCCCTCGTCTTAGAAAAGTAAGGCGTTATGGATGTGTGTAGGTCAAACTTTCTCAACTTTGACTAGGTTTGTAAAAAATCTGAACATTTATATCTCCAAATAAGTTTATATGAAAGTATATTCAATGATCTATCTATTAATATTAATTAAATATTAATAATTTTATATATAATTGGTCAAAGTTAAAAATGCGGTTGATTTCTCGAAAGCAAGAACTTCTTCTATTTGGAGACGAGTAGAAAGATGACTTTAAATAGATATATTATTGACAGCAAAAATCAACACACAAAGTCGCTTTTACCTTCGTAGAAGTCTCACTACTGGTTTCGAGCAAACTAGTAGTGAATAATTTTAACCGACTATTTTGCAAGCAAGAATAACAAACGATATATGGCCCAATTCGCTGGAGCACGCGGCTTTGTCTTAGTCGATTTTTTTATAAAATAAATAAATTTAAGAAAAAAAATTAATGTTGACATTTATAATCTTCTCTCTATGCTTTTCCGTTTTCTTTTTTCATAGGCTTCCCCTGCTCTGTCTGTTTGAGCTGTTCTTGAGCTAGCATATTTGTACTAGGAGTACTACCAATGTTTCAAAAAAAAAAAAATCTAGTACAAAATAAAGATAGTAGCACCACGCACTATAATCGTGTGAAAGGAAAGCAGGCACCGTAGCACACGGATCTATACTGTATATAAGGGAGACCAGAGCATCGGGCAGGAAACAAACAAGCGGGGAATTTTGTTTTGTTGCGGCACCGTCGTCGCGTTGCGGGCTCGGAGGAATAACGAGGAGGCCTTATTCCGGCGCTGGCCACACCGCGACAAGCCCCGTGGATGCCCGGATGGCTTTTTCCTAATTGCATTTATTTATTATTTATATTATGACGACGAGACATAAAGTCTACTCCCGTACACGTACCAGTGACCTGCTTTGCGCCTCTGAGGGCCCCAGGCCCTTATCCTGCCCTCGGAATAGCAAAAGACCCTCCCCCTCCAGCCCTGTCCAATTTTTTCCTACCACATTATCCATTTAAATAAAGATATCCACTGTGATAAGTTGAGGTACGTATATGCTAAATTTACCAAGTATATATTAAATTTTTAAGGCAAAAAAGTATATTAAATTTTCATTACTCATGCTATATCAAATTCTGGGCAGGGCTGGTAGAGAGTTAACAACTCTAATAAAAATTTAGGTGCCCACTAAAAAAAATCAAGTTCAGTAGAGCCACTAAGCGGGCCAACAAATTTGAGTGGGCATCCAAATCCTCCCAAGGGACAAAATCCTAGGTGCTCAACTTTAGTCACGATCCATCGGTTCCTCCCCATGCTTGCACTTAGCAGGACGGCAGCCTATGCTTGCATCTACACCAGATTTTGACATGGCACTCCAGGTCATGGCGAAAAAGCAATCCTCACTACGGATAACAACTTAGTCAAGCTTCCCTCACAGCTCGCATTATCTCTCATGGCCTCATCCTCCAGCCACCTCTCCCATGGCTTCCGTCCATAGCGAGCTCCTATAACACAATCTCTCTACTCTTGGTGCTTTCTGATGTGGGCGGGATTAGAAGGGAGTTGGCGGCTAGATCCGCATGACACTGACCCAGTGGGCTCCGGTGTCAAGGGATCTGATGGCACCTCCATTTGCCATCAGCCCTCCCTCTGGACGCTGTTAGCCTGGTCACAGACTGTCTCGGGTCAAAGAACTGGAGAGAGAGAGAGAGAGAGAGAGAGAGAGAGAGAGAGAGAGAGAGAGGGAGGAGGAGGGAGGAGGCAGGGAGAGTCCCACTTACCGACAGATCCCATGTGTCAGTGGCTATAAGGATGGAATTTTGAGGAGGCTTCGCTTGGGTGCCTCCGCTAGAGTGAAAGCTTATAAGTTAGGCTAACATACTGGGGTTGAGTACCCAAATCAAAAACAAAGGTATGATTTAGGAGCTTTGCTCAAGTTGTCATGATGGCCCGTGGAACTCAAGGTGTAAATGCAGACACACCGTTATTCTTTCTGCCTTACCTTTTGTCAATCGCTCTCTTAAGAGCATTATTGATCGGCTTTCTTTCGAGTTTAACTAGGTGAGTGATATAATATGCATGAACGTTTCAGAGATCTAAATTAATTTATTACATAAAATGAACTAACTATCTATTTAAGCGATATTAATTGTCACGATATAATTATTAGTTATTTTTTTCAGATATTTAGTCAAAGTGAAATACATTTGGGGTGGTAGCAGACCGATGGAAAGGGATGGAGGAGTACGCCGAAGAGGAATCCAGCGCCTCCTCACCAAATTACGGCAAGAGTCCAGCCCGTCTCGGAGTGGGAGTCCAGAGCAAAATAAGCAGAAACGGTTTTGGTTTTGTTCCATGGCGAGCAGAGAGGCGCAACCAGGCTGCGCAATAGGGTCGAGAGTCCACGCAGTCCGGAGGCGAAAGGGCCAGCAAGCACTGCCCTCGGCTGAAATTCCTGCACAAGCAGGCCCAGACCTCTCTGAGCAGGTCGCGGCGGCAGAGAGGCCGGTGCGGCGTGGCGTGGCGTGGCCTCGCGCGCGCAGGTGCCGGAGTGCGGAGGTGCGGACAAAAGCCCCCTTTTGTCGCCACCAGCACTACACCCCAAAAATCTCACCAGCAGCCTGACTGCGCCAGGCCTCCTCCCTCGCTGCCTCGCTGAGGCGTTCGCCGTCCCCTTCCTTCTGTTCCGGCCTACCCCCATCTGGTCGGCCCTGCCGTCTCCTCGCGCCTCTTTTCTCCCTTCTCTTTTGCTTCTAGGTGGCGCTGCCGGTGAGCGTATCTTCGCTACTGCGGCGCCGCTGCTCGTCCACAAAGGCTCCCTCCTGAGGTGGATGCTACTTCCCTTCTCTTTGCAGAGCCCGTTTTACATGCAGCTTCTGTCCTGAGTCATTATGGCCACGGCGACGCTGTGCCTGTGCTCCCTCCCCTCTATTCTCTCCTCCCCTGTCCGTCCCCTGCCATGAGCAAGCACGCCACCGTGGAATGTTTTACTGTAAAATACAATAAAGCTTCGTCTGGTCTGGTATTGACTCTCACTGCCGCCCCAGCCCTGCCTGCCTCTGCCCGTGCGTGATGAAAGAGTGCAGATAAATGGCGCCTCTGCTCCCCACCCAGTACCAGCCCAGTGATTTCTCTCGTCTTCTTCCCCATCCACGGCCATACCATCGGGCTTGTATTCTTCTTCCTCGAGCTGTTCCTGTTTGCTGCCACCTCCTTGGCCGTTTCGCCTGCAGCACTTTCCTCCTCCTCTGCCTGCCTCTCCCCTCTTTCTTCGTGTCCGTGTCCGTGTTCATACCGCTACGCTGCTGTGTGGACGTTCTGCGCTTCCATCCATTGCGCGGCCAAAGCTGGTCTGGTCCATTATTTATGATTACTATGGCTTCTTGATTTCTTGCTCTGTCTCCTTCCTCAGGCTCAGCACGCACCGCCCCACCTCCCTCCTCCTTTCTCCATGCAGATACAGGCTGCTGCAGGCTTTTGGTAGGTCGCCTCCGCTCACCCCACTGACTTTACCTTTCTTGGCTGCCTGCAGGCCGTGTTCGTCAGCGACGACCAAGAGAGGAGAACAGACCTTGTGCCATCATCCCAGAGGTTCCTCGGCCATAACATTTCGGCGGTCGTATAATCCACACCACCAAGCACACAAGCTTTAGAGCTTTGCTTGCTTCACGGAAGAGCAAATTACAGCGGTGGTCGCGTCAACGTCGCGTCGCCGTGCCAGAAAGGAAGGCGAAGGAAGGCTGCCTGATGGTCCAGGACGGCTCCTCGTCGTCGGTCATCGTCCCTGCTGCACAACTTCTCCACCATGCCGCTCCACACATCCCCGGGCTGGCGGCGGCGTCCCCTGACGCCGCCGTGGCTGGCGCGCGAGCTCCGCCCGACGAGCGCGGGCTCCTGCCTCATCCACCTCCTCTCAACTGCAGCGGCCGCCGCGTGCGCGACTGACGCCGCCAACGCGGCGCTCGAGCACATCGCGTCGCTGGCGTCCCCCGACGGCGACGCCATGCAGCGTGGCCGCCGCCTCGCGGAGGCAAGCTGGCGCGGCGCGCTCTGCGCGCGGCCTGGCTGTGCCGCGCGCTGCTCCTGCCCTGTGCGGCCCCACGCCCGCCGAGCTCGCTGCTGCGAGGCGCCACTCTCGACCTCTGCCCGTTCCTCCGCCTCGCGGGCGCCGCCGCCAACCAGTCCGTCCTGGAGGCCATGGAGTCGGAGAAGATCGTGCACGTCGTGACCTCGGCGGCGCCACGCCACGCAGTGGCTCGAGCTGCTGCACCTCCTTGCTGCGCGCCCGAGGGCCCGCCGCACTCTCTGCTCACCGCCGTGCACGAGCACAGGGACGTGCTCACGCAGACGGCCATGGCGCTCACCAAGGAGGCGGAGCGGCTGGACGTGCCGTTCCAGTTCAACCCGTCGTGTCCCGGCTCGAGGCGCTGGACGTGAGTCGCCCGCGTGAAGACCGGCGAGGCGCTCGCCGTCACCTCTAGCCTGCAGCTGCACCGCCTCCTGGCTCTGACGACGATACCTCCGGCAGGACGGCCACCACCACCAGAGCAGCAACGGCAAAGGCGGGGACACGAACAAGCGGGCAGCGGAGCCTGGACCGGGGTCCCTGACGACGTCGCGCGCCGACGCGTTCCCTGGCGCGCTGGGGCCTGTCGCCAAGGTGGTGGTGGTGACGGAGCAGGAGGCGTCGCACAACGCGGCGCCGCTGACGGAGTGTTCGTGGAGGCGCTCAACTACTACGCGGCGCTGTTCGACTGCCTGGAGTCGGCG